AATGGCCACAACGGCTAGGGCTGGGAGCGAGGAGCGAGGAGCCTGGAGCTCCATCTAGGGCTCCCATGTTGGTGGCAGGGTCCAAGTACTAGAACCATCTTTCAGTGCTTTCTCAGGTGTATCAGTAGGGGCCTGGAAAGGGAGTGGAGCAGTCAGGACCTGAATTGGTGCCTCTGTAGGATGCCTGTATTGCAGTCAGGAAGTTGACACATTGTGCAACGACACTGGTCCCTAACTGACGTTACTTCAACTCGCTTGAAGATGAGTCATATTCAAGTATGTAATCTCTTTATATCTAGATTTCCTCTGTGTTAATAAAAACAGTGGATTTTCACACTCAGCTCTCTCACTCTCACACTCTCCATCTTTCCAATACAAAACGTAAGTACTAATTAAAATATTCAAATCAGTGTTTAGTCAACTTTGCAACATATTAAAATGGTTGAACTAAACCTGAAGGAGAAAAACAGCTTCAGAAAGGAAACAAAACAAATGCTTTTGCCTTACAAATAAACAACAAAACAAGAACAAAAAAAAAGCAAAGGTGAGCATCATCATGTACCAGAATCAGAACAGGCTTTGAAATGCTGTTTCTTTGAGGAAAAAGATACGTTTTTGATTCCGTGCTGCTTTGGGTGATGGCTGTTTTAGCCTATCAGGTTTTCTGAAGAGCCAGCAGAGGAGGAAGGACAAAAACGAAATGCCTTCTTAGAGCCTTAGTTTTGTTTCCATTTCTTTGCTTTCTCTGGCACGATGGACGGATGAAAAGTAGGTGTTTGTGTTTGAGGAGGAGCTTTATTCCTGAGATCCACTCTGTCTCCTTCAAGGATTAGGTTCAAAGACAAGATGCTCCTGTTTTATTCAAATGCTGGCAGCCTTCGAGTTCACCACCAAAGGGCTTGGTGGTGATAAAGAACAACCACCCAGGTTTTGTGCTCTGCTTGCAGCAAATTTAATTTGGCCCTGACTGTAATTTCCTCTCAGTTTCCTGTTGGCTGGAGGTCAGAGAGGGTAGATGTTTAATCTCTGTTTAATCCTTAAACTATATGCCAAAAAGGGATTTCACATGATAGTCAAAATAGCTTTTCCATGCATATTTTCACCAGAAAAAGGTTTAAGTGGGATTTTGAATTCTCTTCAGTGATCCTTTTAGTCACCTCAGTAGTTCTCATATCAACAATGCTGTTTGCACCTTGTCAGGAATATATAGGGACAGAGGCACTCTAATTGGAAATTTGAAAGTATAAGGGATGAGATTGGTTTGTTTCTCAACTAGGCTATAAGTGTGATTTAAGGAGCTGATCGCTAGTACCATCATTGTGGCATTACAGGTCAAGTAATCACCTATAATACTTGTATCCATATTATGTGGGTGCTGGTTTGTGTCCTGGCTGCTCCACTTGCTACCCAGCGCCCTGAAAAATGGACTTGGAAAAGTAGCATAAGACAGCACAAGAATTTGGGCCCCTGCCACCCATGTTGGAGACTGAGCTTAGCTACTGGCTTCAGACTGTCTCTGCCCTGGCAGAGGAGTAAACCAGCAGATGGAGGACCTTTCTCTGTCTCTGTAGTTCTGACTTTCAAACAAATAAACATATCATTTTTAAAAAGAAGCCAATGGTATTTCAGAAAATAAAGACAAATATCTAATACATTATTATTTAACATTATTATAATATGATTTTTAAAAGGTTTATTTCTAAGGTAGAACAACAAAAAGAGAGACAGAAAGAGAGGGAGTAGGAGAAGGGAGGGAGAAGAAGGGAGCACAGAGAGAGAGAGAGAGAGAGAGAGAGAGAGAGAGAGAGAGAGAGTGCTGGTTCAATCTCCAAATCACAAAGCCAGGTCTTGACCAGGCTAAGCCCAGGGACTGAATTCTTTCCTACAATTTTCATTTATTTCTTTTAATTTTATTTGAAAGGTTGAAAGAGTTGTGGGTATCTTCCATTTGCTAGTTCACTCTTCAAATAACTACAGTTTCTGGTACTGGATCAGGCTGAAGCTGAGAACTCAATTCTGGTCTTCCATGTGGGTGGCAGAGATTCAAATACTTCATTCACCTCCCAGAATGGATTTCTGCAGGAAGCTGGAATCAGACGGAGGGAGCCTGGACTTGAACAAGGCTGCCTGACAAGGGATGTATGCCTCTGAAGCAGCAGTGTAACCACTGGATCAAATGTTCTCCTTGTGAGCTGCTTATTCACCATTATATTTTATTGTTTCATTGACTCTCCTCCTCTACCTGTCTCTGCCCCTTGTCACTGCATTTCCCTGTTACAGAACACCTGTTCTGATTTGTAATTCACTGTATATGTAATGGTCTCATGCACTGGACTGTCACCTTGAGGAAAAGGGTCAGTGCCTTATACAAGGGCTGCTCAAAGACTTCATGGAAAATATGTATTATGTATTATGAAAAGATATAAATAGACTTCAATTTTTTTTGCATCAAAATAAGCTTATCTTTGAATTCTGTCTTCCACAAACTGCTTGAAGTAATCTACTGCATTATTATTTTATTTTATGGCATTCATTAGTTTCCATTAGCTGCAGTGCATTGTCATTTTTACATAAACATTGGTTTGGTAAATGATTACTCTCCTGAATAATTACTGTGTTTCCACTTTATATTCTAATGTGTTCAGAAGCTTCAGAAACAGAATCAAGATCTTTAATAATTTCCAAGCTTCACACAGAAAGAAGAGACACAAGAAAGGAGTCCATTTTTGAAAAGGACATTGCAGACCCTCTCTAACCATCATGAAACGTAGGAATAGCAATGGCTCATTGCTAACATGAGGTGAACCTGTAGTTTATATGATACTTACTGCCACAAAAGAATCACAGCTTGAAGTGAAAATATTTTTGATATCCAGGTTGGCGCTGTGCCAATTATATCAGGATCAGGTCAACATTTTTATTGAATTTGCTTTTCAGAAAATACACACATTGCTTTCATTGCAGGTTCCTTTGTTATCTCTAAATCAATAGTTCTGTTAGACTCCACATTACATTAATCTGTCAAACAAACAAACAAACAAAAACCAAGCACCCAAACAAAACAAAGCAAAACAAAACAAAAAAGTTGTTCTTGCACACCCAGATTTTCACTTGCTTCTGTCAAAACTATTTAAATTGCTAGTGACCAAGGAGTGATTATTTGATGTCTTAGTTGGTATTCTGTTGTTATGATGGGACACTTGAATTTGAGTAGCATGTAAAGAATAGGAGGCTGGATGGTCGTAGAGCAGGGTATTAGAATTTGGTCAAGGACTTTTCGTGTTGTAATTTGGTGAAGGGCACCACTTGATTTGGAAGCCAGGAGTGTACAAGCCAAGGCCTCTCTGTTTCTTCTTAAGCCATCGATCCCTTCATCAGAGCCCAACTTCCTAATCTCCATCTAACCCCAATGACTTCTCCCAGGTCTCTCCTCCAGTTAGCCTTAGGATGTGAATTTGGGGATTAAGTTTCCAGAAAATCTGTCTGTGATGTAGTCACTTTTCAGTGTTTCACCTGCCTTGGTTTTAGAAACACTGGGGTCCAATTTTCAGGTTGACTGAATTCTAAGGGGTGGTTATATTTCATCAGATTGACTATCCCATAGTAACAGGTAACTGTAATATAAAAGTACTTCAAAAACAAATCAAAAGATGTTTTTTATTGGTGCAAATTTTTTTGAAACCCATACATAAATTTCTCATAATATGCATTTTCCATATAGTTTTTGAAGGTCCTTGTATTTGTGAATTTTACTTTTTTTTTTTCGAGATAAACTCATCTTTCCATACATTGTATGAATACTGAATCTGTGAAAAGCCTTTCTTCTCTGTAATCTCAACTAGGAATGTCTGTTCTTTAAAAGTTTTCTGAGCAGTCTTTTTCTAGAAAAATCTGATTTTAAGAAATTCCAGTGGGGAGTGCTTTTAAGCCGAGCCATTGAGACCTGCATAACTCATACCAGCATGCCTGGCTTTGGCATTCTGGCTCTGGCTGCACTTTGCAGTTTACTGTCATTGTTGACACCCATAGGCCATGGTGATGGCTCCAGTAGTAGAATTCCTGTGTTGAGTTCTTAGCTCCTGGCTTTGGCTTAGCTTGCTCCCAGATACTGTGGTCTTTAGGGAGCAAACCATGATTAGGAGTCTTGTCTGTGTCTCTTCATCTTTCTAAAAAAAGACACCCAAATTACCAGAATAAAAAATATGAGAATTTATGTCTTTTGGATGATTAGAAACAGAAAAACTTTAGCTCGGTGGTGTGAGAAAAAAAAAAAGGATTGAGGGGATGTATTTGTGAAGTCCCAAGGTCTACAATTATTTTGTGCTTTTTCCCCCGTTTCATTTTTTCAAATTGCTGCTATCTACAATAGTAACTTAAAAAACATTTCTCCTAGGCTTAATCATCATTCTATTAACTGTATCCTGTAGGTATGGGCAATGGCAGAGAGTCCAGCATCCTATTGTCAAGATACATTCAACAGTTTCATTGGGAGTCCAACTTTGATTTGGAAGTAGAGGTGCACACTGCATTGTATCTTCACATCCGGATGTGATAGTCTCTACTGCACAGTTACTATACATCTGCTTAAATGTAAATCCATAAAACAAAATCAACAACAAAAAGGAAAAGAGAAAATTTACAACACCATGAAGTTAAATAACATGCTGCTGAATGACCAATGTGTTGCTGAAGAAATGAAAAAGAAAATAAAAGACATTCTTGAATTAAACAATGCTATTGTATGACCTATGAGTCAGTGAGGAAGTTAATAAGAAAAACAAACACTGTTTTTGAATGAATGAAAGTTAAAAACAAAAATACCAACTCCCCTGAGATGTAGCAAAAACCATATTTAAGGGGCCATTGATCTTGTATTTCCCATGAAGGTTGCCTTATATTAGTGGGCACATATATTTGTCATTTGTGGATTGACCTGTTTCACTGAGCATAATGGTCTCTAACTGGGACCATTTGGATGCAAATGGTAGCATTTCATTATTTTTAATAACTGAGTAGTATTCCACAGAGAAGATGTACCACAGTTTCTTTATCTACTTCTCATTTGACGGGCATCTGGGATGTTTCCATGTCTTTGCTATTGTAGATTGTGCTGCTACAGATACAGGATTACAGATCCTTTCATACAAGAGCTGATCATGAGACAAAGAAATGTGAGTCAGTGATGTGTGGGATCTTAGAAACTCATTCCTCAAGGGAGAAGCGTGCCATTAATCCTCACTATTTTTTTTTTTGTCTCAGTGTTCAGAATGTGGGTTAAGATGGGCTCCCTGAAACCAGGTGGCTGAGAGCAGAAGTCCAGGGTTGATACAGCAACAGGAAAAAGGGATCTTTGGTCTTTTGATGACCTTGTGGGACTGGGCTGCCCTCCTAGCTTTCCACCATTCAAACTCGGAGAGATGTAAAATGTCTGTCTTATTTCAGATGCTGCTGTTTGCCACCTATGAAACATGTGAAAAACAAAAACCCTCTAAATTCCCTCATATTAATGCATAGCAAGTGGGAGAAGATTTTTAGTTTGGGCAGTATTTGAAATAAAATAATGATAAAATGGAATCAGAAAATTATCATGTCCATAAACCAAATATTCTATGATCGCTAAACTTACAATGGCTGAGTATGTGTGGATGGCTCTATGGGTCAGGGTTTATTACACAACCACACAGAAGGCATTAGGTATTCAAGTCTTTTACAATCATTTCATTCAGATCAGGTCTATATTTCAAGCGAAGGGCATTAGTGATAGACTGTTTTATCAGGATAACAACAATCTAATTTATCTTGCTTTTGAGAGAACTTTTGCCAATAATAGGCAATGCTACCTTTTCAATGAGATTTTCAGAAGGAAGATCTGACTTGTTAATAGTTTGGAAAGATTTTAAGCCCACTTCAAGTTGAAGTAAATCCAAAACCTTATTATTCAAATTAAATACATAGTCATGCATCGCTTTTGTCTTGGGTTAGATAGAATAGTTTAGGGAAAGAAAACTATGTGCAAGTCTAATGTCCACAAAGAAGGACTGGTCATTTAAGAGGGAGAAGTCATGAGGTAGGTACTTGTAAAGCACAATAAACTGGAGTTGACCAAGTAGAATGTCGCGAGTTTTTGAGGGTACTCCAGCACGATCACTAGGCTAACTGAATGGTATCTTATTAGAGTATGTCAATCATATAGGCCATGGGACATGCGACAGAAGCAAACTTTATTTTGTGCCTTTCCAAAAGTAGCATTTGAATTATTTCCCAGTCTGTATGGTGGCTTGGAAACTAAACTAAACTAAACTAAACTAAACTAAACTAAACTAAACTAAACTAAACTAAACTAAACTAAACTAAATGTAATATTAAATGCATTTTCAACTTCATTAGATTTTCAGTTAAGGTGTGTTTGTTGGTATGTAATCTTATCACAAATCAAGGAGTGTTTCTACTCACTTTCTCAAACATTTCAATGGAATTATTGGCTTACATTATATTAATTTAGTATATATTAGAACTGAATGCATATTTCATAAATCACATTACATGAACAATGAGTTAGGACCCCACATGAATCATCGTTGTTGGGTGTAAAATGTTCAGCAGAGAACTGTGTAGGTTTGTTGGCTAGTGAAAGAGTAAGCGAATAGAGAAAGGAAGGTGATTCATTTTTCTTGGTACATTTAGTCACATGTGTGATGGAGAAGAGATATTTAAGATAATTAAAAGATACTTTTTGTAACCCCTCCAAATTTTTCCATAATTATCTGCATTATTAAAAAGTTAAAAAAAAAAGAGTTTTTCTTTTGTAGTTTTCACAGAAAAAAAAAGTTTTCAGAATTCTGCTTAGGTTCCATTCAATAGTTATAATTGCCTCAAGTCTATTTTTTTGTTGATTTCCCAGATTATGTTTAAGTATTCCTTCAACCAGAAGTAACAGCAGCAGGAAGGACAAGGAGCGGGGGACAAGAGCAAAAGAATCACTGCCTTTTATGCACTTCTGCAAATGTATTCTTAAGTATCATCGTCATTATTTTTGAACCTGTATGAAAGCTACAATCTAAGACCTCTGCTGATTTCTTACTCTTAGTTGCATTTGGCAAAGCCAAAACCGTGAGCGTCAACATCAAGCTTACAGCTCCAATGTGAATGATTCTTTAAGATGCTAGTCACAGTACATCCCAGAGCAGTTGTCAAACACATCAGGGTCAATTTGGCAAATATGCCTTAGAATTGTCCAAATTTTTTATGTTGGAAGATTATATCATGAAGAATGAACACCTTTTCTTTCTACCATGAGCAACAGTTGAGTTTAACTGAAGAGATTTTGTCAGGGAGTTTTTGAGAAGGCAGTGCCTCCTCCATACCTAGGCTTAGAAAATCTCTTGAGTAGATTTATGCAGGAAATGCAGGCTTGCTAATGAGGTGGAACCGCAAGACACACTCAACAGAAACACAGAATTTCGGAGCTAATTGTTACCAGCCTGACCTAAGTAAGATAACTGGGAAGCATTGTAGTTATTTTTTTACCCTGAAAAATCCTGTTTGCTCTTTGTAGTCATGCCAAAGTCATGCAATTACAAATTAATTCTTTTTAAAATTGTATTTGAGAGGCAAAAGGGGGAAAAGGAAAGCCGGGGGGCGGGCGGGGTAAGAGAGACAGAGTGATTGATTCTTCCTCCACTGATTTACTTTTCCAGTGCTCTCAGCAACCAGGACTGAGTCAGGCCAAAGGTGGGAGTCTGGAATTCAATCCAGGTTACCCATATGGGTGGTTGGAACCCAAACTACTTAATCCCTGCTGTCTTCCAGGGTCTGTACTAGCAGAAATGAACTGGAAGTAAAACTGATATGAGGCTGGTGTCCTGACAGCTTAGTTGTTGGGCCAAACAATCTCAGTTTTAAAAAATTTCAAACTTTAGTTGTGTGTAGGATTCCGCGGGAGAAAGTGTATTAACTAGGATTATCTTTTATGGGATGGGTGTTCGGCTTAGTGGGTGAGATGCCTGCATTCCATATTTGAGTGCCTGGCTTTGCTAACCTGGCTCTGGCTCCTGACTTAAGCTTCCTGCTGGTGTGGACCTCAGGAGAGAGAGCAAAGGTAAGTCACATAGTTGGGTTCCTGCCATTCATGTAGGAGAACAGAATTATGTTCATGTTTCCCAGCTTCAGCCTGGTTCGGTCCTTGTTGCACGCATTTGGGAAGCAGATCAGTAGGAGTTATTTCCCCCTTTCTTTCTCAATTAAATAATTTAAAATAATAATTTTACTTCAGATCCTATTTTAATGCTTTATCCAATAGTAAATAAATCAACTTGCAGCAAGATTAGATTCTTATTCAGTTTTTGAATGAAAAGGTATGATATGCTCCATGGAAGAGAGTAACAGTTATGTACATAGCTATGTGTCAGGCACACTCCAAGATGAGTCATACTTTTGCATAATCCTCACCTCTTGAGTATGGGTCGACCCTGTCTTCCTCCTATGCAGAAGAATGTGGCAAAGGTAACGGAATATCATCTCCATGGTCATCCTTAGTGATGTAAAACATTCAAAGTAGACTGGGGGAAAAAGTTTGCCCATCTTGAAGTGTCAGAATCCATTTTATGAGCTGTGTATTAAGAAGGTCATGTGGTAGGGCATCAGGACTGGCGGTTGTCCTTTCATTCCTGTATTTGTTCAGCTTCCCCTTTCTCTTACACAAAGCACTTAGTAATTCTACATCTAATGTAGTTGCTATAACTATCCTCGTATATTCTTTACTATATCCTTAACATTACAAAAACCAAGACTCCATTGCCCAATAGGGTTCCCTCTGGCTCCGAATACTCCATAAATGCCTTCAAAGACGGTACATGCTGTTAGGCAAAAGAAAAGAGCTGCTTCCAGACTAGGCCATAGGATTTAAATTCTGCTTTCTATGTGGTTGGTTCAAATACAGCACAATGGCTATGCTCACTGGTTTTGGGTGAGCTGGATTAAAGCATGTGAGACTTTTTAAAAGTATGTTATGAAATCATTTTAAGGTAGTTAAAATATCAGCTAACACATTTTAAGACTTTGGGAAAGATTCACACTAATATAATTTATAACAACTAATAGGAGTTTTATTATCCATTATGAAATTATTTGACACCATTACCAATCTAAAGGCAGGAAAAGGTTACTTCTGAAATGTGATTAACCTATTTTCACTTGGGAAGAATGGGAAGTTAAAAATAAAGTTATGATCCTCATCTGTATCTTTGGGCAGATTTCACATCATGAATGAGCAGAAATTCTGTAGAACAATGAAGACTGCTACTCTGCTGATGTTCTAGTGGAGCTGTTCCAAGGTAGGTGTTCTTTAATAATGGAATCTAGAGTTCATGTATGATTTTAAAGTTATTATTTTGACTAAACTTCATTAAGTATATTTAAGTTGATTATGTGCATTTTTTTAAAAAAATATTTATTTGGAAAGTATAGTGATGAGAAAGAGACAGAGAGGGAGAGAGAGGAGGAAAGGAGAGAGACAGAAAGAAGGAGAAAGAGAGAGAGAGCATATATTATATATTCTGGTCCACTCCTCAAATGGCTGCAAGAGCTAAGGCTTGGCTAAGCCAAAGCCAGCAGTCTGGAGCTCCATCTGGGCATTCTGCATGAGTTGCAGGGAAGCAAAGATGTTGGCTATCTTCTGCATTAGCAGGGAGCTGGATCAGAAGTGAAGCATCCAGGATTTGAGCCAGTGCTCATAGAGGACGCTGACATCACATCAAGTGGCTTAACCTACTCTGCCACTACACAGTCCCCTCTTTTTTTCTTTAATAGATATATTTAAAAGATTTATTTATTTAGAAAGCAAAGCAACAGAGAGAGAGAGAGAGAGAGAGAGAGAGAGAGAGAAAAGGGGAAAGAGAGGGAGGGAGGGGAAGAGAGGGAGAAAGAGATCTTCCATTTGCTGCTCAATCCCTCAAATGGCCACAGAAGTCAGGTTTGCGCCAGGATGAAGTCATGAGCCAGGAGCTTCATCTGGATCTCCCACATGGGTGGTGGAGACCCAAGTACTTGAACAATCATTTACTACTTTCCCAGGCACACTATTAAAGATCTGGATTGTAAGCAGAGCAGCCAAGACTTGAGTGAATTTTTAAATATGGGATGCCTTAATGGCAGGCAGTGACTTAATTTTCTGTGTTACAATGCCAGCCCAACCAGATTCTTGATTTTAGTTCCTGCAGTACGTTATGTACTTTCCTTGAGGCCAGGAATGCCTCTGGTACATAGAAGACATGAACAAAACCTTTGGAAGAGAGGGGAGCATGTCATGTCAAGAAGCCACTGGTTTTTTAGATGCGTGTACATGAAATTTGTGTCTAAGGAGTGTGTTTCTAATGTATGCATATGAAAACATTGAGTCAAACAAGAAGATATTAGAGAACCGCTTGGAAGCCAGCATAGTCTAAGTCCTGTGTGAGGGGCGCAAAAAGGCAGAGGCAGAACCTAGCTGGACTCCCCTGAGTTCCTGAGTAAGAAAGAAGTCATGATTATGCAGAAAAAAAAACACACATGCTATCATTGGGTATGTGCTTCGTGTTGAGCTCTGGGGACTACATCATGATAAACACTACCAACAACATGAAAAAGCTCCAGTCGTCATAAATGTCTATATAATCACTTAAAATAATAAAATTGTGATCTGGATGTTGTAAAAATAGAAACATATTATACAATCTGATTGTATTTGAGGCTGTAATACAACAACAGAACACACTTAAAAATAGAATACCCTTCTACTATAAATATTGAAAAGTTACATTTTAACCTTGACGGATATTTAACATTTGATTAGCAGTGATTTTCTATAGCATCTAGGGGCTTCCAAAAGCTTGATTGGAATTCTTTGGGTGGGTCAGGCTTTTTTAGGCACCATGCAAGGACACCTTCTTTTTTTCCTTGCCTGAATTTTTCCATAGCAAGCAGAGGCTTTGGAAATAATTGTCCTCCCTCAAATTGTAGTGATTGGGACTTAGTGGAAGATTATGTGATAATAAGGCTGTAGTTTGTCCTACTGTAAAACATTTGAGAAAAGGTTACAGTGAGCTATTGAACTCTGTGTTTTACCCGTTCCCACTGCTTATTCAAACTAATATCCAGACTTAATTAAATTAATTGGCCAGCCATGCAAGCTGACACCAGGGAGGAGGCATGGGAGCACTGTCCTTACCTGCAGCTTCTATTCTTTCTTCCTGCCATGTGGAGAACCCACAGCGTACTTCCAGAAGCCAAAATCGTCATCTTTCTTTTGAGACTTCCCTTTCCATTCATGTATCCATCTAGCAAATGTCCATCAAGTGTTTAGTGGATGAGTGAAAGAAATCGAAAATGATTTGCCAGGTTGGGGCTGGCATTGTGGCTTGCGGGAAGGCACCAGAAGGTGGCCAAGTTCTTGGGCTCCTGCCACCCATGTGAATGACCAGGTTGGAGTTATAGACTCCTGTATTTGACCCGGGCCAGATCTGGCTGTTGTGGCATTTTGAGAAATGAACAAGTGGGTGAGAGATCTCTCTCTATTGCTCTGCCTTTCAAATAAACACATAAATAAATTTTTGAAATATGTCAGCTGACATTATGAATGTATGAATTTTGTGAATGAGGTTTTATGCTTGGTACAGGGCATTAGGGTGTGTAAATATTTTTTGAATCCTTATATGCCATTTAGTAGAGTGCCCCTTATATCTGTTATATATAATTACATCAGTTATATATAATTTAGGGATCTTACATCTGGAATTTAACTTATCCAGAATTTATAAAATAAGGTATATATGTATAAACTTATGTAATATATATACATATATGTAATTACGTATGTATTATTTACATTTAAAGATAATTTCTTGAATGTGTTTGGCAAGGAAGAGACCAAAGTGAATGTATTTATTTAGGTTTTAATTAACTTACAAGTGGAAATATTAGAAGAAGATTTGGGACACTTATTTGACAGATTAAAAATAGGTGGGAGGAAATGAATTCCATTGGTTTTAGGCATGTGGAAGTCTCCTAACTTCTTTGTTAGGCAGGAAAAGATCTCCTTTCCTTATTTAGAGTTGAAGAACTAAGAGACAGAGTGATTGCCATTGTCACCCTCATAAACTGAGTAGGAGACATGCCTGTGGCCAGAATAGGTATCTTTTGGTTTCAACCATATCCAGGGGAAGATTCCTGTCTCTATACAAATAGTCTGTGTTTCCCTGAGCTCTGAGGTCTGCTGTTGACATGAGGCAGATATAAACTCAGAATTGCCACAGTTCAGCAGAAAATGATCAGTAGTTCTTTTGGGTTATCAACTCTGTGTTTTCCTTTTGTCACCCATGCATTGGTTATTCAGTGGCATGTATTTTCGACTCCATGTGCTGTAATTTTGGTGGTGTTGTTATTCTTGTTGCCAGATCGGGTGGCCTGGGGCTCCAATTGTGCCAGGAGAAGCCCACAGGCAGCCCAGTGACATGTTTGTGGGGGCTTGGTGTGTGGGCTTGAAGGGGTCTGGGGGATTATACAGATAGGGATGTGCAAGGACATGAGGACTCACATCCAGGATTGGTGGTCTGAGCATAGAGGACATTAGTCAGAACTAGGCCTCCTCAGTAGAAAAGATGGTGCACTGGATGGTTGGCACAGATGCACATGGAGGACATGGCAGCCCATTGAAGCCTACAGAAGACATCTGCTACCATAGCAGAGGAAGGAGGGTGGAACAAATAGGACAACTACCCCAAAGATGTGATGATAGCCAATATCTGGGCAAATGGAGACTCTAAGGTTGACCATGTCAGCCAATGAATCTTGGAAAAAGTTCCTCATTCTTGGATCAGCAGAATTGACAGCATTTCAGAACTATCAAAACCACTTAAGCAGAACCCTCAGAACATGCTCCAAAATGAGGGCCCTGGGTTGATATTACGTGGCTGTTCCCCATTCGTGGGTGCTGGAGCATTTGGGAGACAGGGTGTGGCTTTTCCTCTTATCTCCCTTCTCAAAAATACAGGAAGAAGAAAAAGAAAATTTGGAAGCAATATCCTCTCCCACTTTTCCTTAGCCCTCGATCCTTGCCGCCCTGATCAACTATGTAAACATCATCAAAAATAAAAAATTGAAAACAATTTTAGTTTGCTGTGAAGAGATTGTTCCAACAATTTGGTCAAAGATGAATTTAAAGAGATTTTTGGAAGAGGAGCTAAATATAGAGACTGGGCGATTTCTGAATTGTCAAATTTCTTAGGAGAGGCAAGGATTTATTATTATTTTTTTAATTGGAAGGGCAGATATACAAAGAGGAGGAGAGACATTTGATGATTCACTCCCCAAGTGACCGCAATGGCTGAAGTTGGCCAGGAGCCAGGAACTTCTGCTGGGTCTCTCATGGGAGTGCAGGGTCCCAAGGCTTGGGCCGTCCTCGACTACCTCCCCAGGCCACAAGCAGGGAGCCGGATGGGAAGCGGGCCTGCTGGGATTAGAACTGGCACCCATGGGCAAGTCTTTTAGATACTAAAATGCTGTATGTTAATAACACATCCCCATTTTGGAACTAGTCAAAGTAATATTTTACTTAGTTAGCTAAATCTATCGGTAAATTTTAGTAGCAGTGCAAAAAGAGAGAGTTTTTAATACCTATAAGCAATATTGAGAGTATATCAACAAATTACCAAGAAGAGTTGCAAATTAAATTCTGCAGTGATTCTACCAGAGGATTCCTAATTTTATTTTCTTTTAAAGTGTATCTCTTTTAACGTTTTATTTGAAATGAAAATGTCATTCTCAAGTTACTAATTTGACTTCTGAAATAAACATTTCTGCAGAAGACCAAACATTGAATAATGAAATTCTATAGGCTCGATTAAGCCAAAGGTCATGAAGGAGTAAGGTTCTGAACCTGAACAGTTTCCATGGAAACTGAATCAGAGAAGCTTTATGTCTCTAGCCTCCCCTGTACTAGACTGGCAGATTCAGATCCTTCCACCTGGTACCTTCTAATTTATCATGTCCCAAAGTGAACTTCTTTAAAAAAATTTATATATTTATTTGAAAGTCAGAGTTACAATAAGAAAGGGAGAAGCAGGAAAGGGGAGTTTCCATGTGCTGGTTCACTCCCCAGATGACTGCAATGTGCAGGGATAGGTTAAGCTGAAGGCAGGAGCCTGGAACTCCAAATGGGTCTTCCATATGAGTGGCAGGGGCTCAAGCACTTTGGTCATCTCCTGCAGCTCTCCCAGGCAAATTAGCAGGAAACTGGGTCATAAACTGAGCAGCCAGGAGTGGAAACATTTCTTACAGGGCGTGCTGGCATTGCATATTA